TGAGAGAGCCCAGTTATGACAGCAGAGCACCCATGTGACCTGATAGGAATGTGTGGTTCCAGCCAAGACCAGAAAAGCTGTCCAGGTTGCCCATTAGACTCTTGAGAAAAAAAATTCTTATTATTTTAAGTCATTGAGTTTTAACTTGTTTGTTACATGGCAAAAGTTAATTAATAATCACCTTGATTATTTTTTCTTTAAAGGAAGGATTGATAAGTTAATTTCGGAAGCACTGTAGTTTTAAATGAGGCTGTGTGCAGTTATCACCTGTGGATATAAATCTAGAAGTTCTGTCTCCATTACCAATCCAGAATTAGGGCTGGGACCCAATTTCTATGTTTCTGTAAATTTCACAGGTAGTGCCAATGCACGGATAGAATGAAAAGATTTCTTTGAAAGTTTTCTTCTGGCACTAAGAGTGATTATCCTTTTAGGGTTGTAATCTACTATTAGAAGTAAATGACCAGATAAGGTCAGAATCACATTAGGCCAACCTAAGAATGAAGGGACTCAGACTATACAGTGAAACTTTCAAAAGGTAATAATCCCAGGGCATTGCCTCTTCCTACCTCTTGAAGATCTTTATGTTGGCCAGAAATTATGTGCTTATAAGAAATAGAAATTCATTTAATATGTAAAGGAATTTATTACATGGATTTAAAGAATTCTCTTAGAATGCAGGTTAGATAACACAACCAAGCTTTATCTGGTATGGACTTGGGAATGAATGGCATAAGGAACCAAGGATGTCTTGGTTTCTCTTACATACTTCCTTTTCACAATGCCTCTCTCCCCACAAGAATGCCCTGATTCCCCTGTATGTTTTCTTTTTTTCATTCTCTTTTCCTTTTAGCAGAGCTTTTATTTATAATTTTTTTATTTCTCAGTAGCCTACTGGTTAAGTTCCAGGGCAACTTTGTTCTAGAATTTACCTGATCTTCCTGTTGCAGATGGCTCAACCTCTTTGTGTCCTAATTACAAACCACTAGGAAGAGGACTCTGGTCCAGTTCAAATCAGAGGTCCAAAGCAGGTCAAACCACCATGCCAGGGAAGGCACCTTGTTCTATAGGGCCTTTGTTGCTACCTGAGAATGGGTTAACAAAAGAGAACATGTGGAATTGGGGACAATGATTCCTGAATTTAATGAGTGTAGGACAATCTATTATATTTACATTGGCTCATCAAATCAACACATATGAAAATGCATCAACCAAATTTCTGAAATACTTAAAGTTTGATTATAACAAACCATTGTTGAATACTATTGTGTGAATATGTTTTCACAGTTGTCATTATATTTTAGGTTTTTGTAAAAGATAGAATTCTATTTATGTTGAATATGTAGGTAGTACTTCTCAGTTTTCAGAGTACAAATCTAACACTTGCTTTACATCTTTTGGCACAGATTTGAATTTATGCTCCTCCCCACCCCCCTTCAGAAAATGCAAGCAATCATTTAAGAAATGACCAAAAAATAAATACGAACCTTCAAAAATAATTTTGCTAGCAGTTTGGATAACCTATCTTATCGTTGTATTCCCAGGGAAAAGGCACATATACTCAAATTAGAGAAGGGATTTGGCTGATAAATTTGGAAGGCAGAGAAATGATTGATGTTTTGCTGCATTTATTTGGAATGCCTTTTCAAGGAACCAAATTATAAACAACCATTGCACATAGTCATCTTATTTAAATTCAAGATATTGAGTACAAAATTTTAAAAAATGTTTGGTAACTGCTTTAGGAAACTACATTGAACTTGTAAACGTGACCTTTGGCATCATGGAATTTTATAGCTTAGTGAGGAGGTTGGTATTAATCAATTAATGATGGACATAATTATAAACTGTGGTAAGGACAGTAGTGGAAAATTACAATCAGGTTCCAGAGCATAAAACTAGGACACATGTTGTATTGTCAATGTGGTGAGGAATTGAGAAAGTGATGTATGAATGGTGAGCTGATATTTGCATGGAATTGAAATAGGCAAAGACAAATAAAAGTGGGGGCCTTGTGGTGTGGGAAAGTGTAGCATTGGAGAAACTTAAGGAAGACCAGTATGATTAGGGACTAAATACTACTAAGGTTGAAGATAGAGGCAGGTTCTATGTTTACATGAGGCAGGGCCTTAGTCGGGATTTTCACCTTTATCCTGAGAACGATAGGAAACCATTTGGCAGACTTAATTAAATGAGTGGTCAGAGCAAGTTTTCTTTTTAAGTTTATTCTCATTGCTGCATTGAGAATGGTCTAAGAAGAAATGGGCAAAAAGTATTTGGACAGAGCAGTCAGGTGGCGATAGGTAAGAGAGATCATGGTGGCCTGAAGTGGTGGTAGCAATAAGATAGAAAGAATATTGGGCAGATGTGGAAAGTATTTGTAAGGTAGAATTTGTAAGGTAGAATTCTTGCTTATGGGTTGAATGATATTTTACCCCCTCTGCATCCACCCGCTTTGGTATGTAACTATGAAATGTACTCTGACGCTCTGGACTTGACCATGTGCCTGGCTTTGAGTAATAGAATGAAGCAGAAGTGTAAGTACGGTGCTTCTAAGTCTACAACTCAAGAGGCCTTGCTCTTTCTTGTGTTTCTGTCATCTCCATGAGGACATTCCTGAGGTAGCCTACTGGCATGGGGAAGATACATGGCAGAGACTTGAAGTGCCCAATCAGCCTAGTTGAGACTTATCTAGATCAATGGAAAGCCAGTTGGAACAGACAAGTTAACAGCCTAGCCAAAAGACACAGAGTCCCCAGGCATGTCCCCAGCTGGTACCTGCCATGTGAGCAATACATGCTATTGTATTATGCCATTGAGGCTTTGTGGTTGTTTATTACTTGGCATTATTATGGTCATAAATAACTGATACAGGGAGGAAAATATTTAGAACATAACTGTTCATATATTATTATTACTATTACTATTATAGTGCAGTTTAATATATTATATTGTCATAATGCAGCATTCTGATTGAGAGGAAATTGTTAATTGAAGCCTTCCTAACACATGGCAAATAACAAACATTTTTCAAAAGTTAAATTGATAAGAGTATAGCTCTTTAGTAGTGAATGATACTAAGAAAGACATTTCCAAAAGCTTAGTTTAGATATCTCACTTATTTCCAGAGAATGTCATATGCTTGTTGTCAAACCTTTTTTTATGTGTTCAATAATTCATGATTCTTAAAAGAAAGGTACAAAGTCAAATAGCATGGCAATGCATAAGAACAAAAAAGCAAAAATTGAGCTGGCAAACTTCTGTTTCAGAGAGTTTCCTTTTCCTTGCATGTTTTGTTGGTTTTGTCCCTATTTTTGCACTGGCTCACTAGAGCGTCACAGAAAGAGACACTTTATAGAAGGCACAAAACGTTCCCAACAGCGTCACTATTAGTTCAAAGTTACATCTCTTCAAAAAGGATGAAAGGATGAAATTGAACAAAAAGTCCACTCTTGGAGTTTGATGGTGAAAGGAAACCTGTTATGGACCAGAGGGCTTAAATGAAGCCTTGACCTCTGTTTATTGATGTGCATAAAGTTCCCACACTTAATTATGGCTACCAGGGTGAAGGTTTATAGTAACTTTTCCTCTCAGAGGAGAGATAAATTGAGATATTCCTAGGAATAAAATTGTCTCCTTTTCTTTTTTATTTGAACTGTGATTGCTTCGTATTATTTTTTGCATGCTTTCAAGTGGTTTTGAACTGGTTGTGTGTATAAGAATTATTAGGGAGGCTGTTAAGCCACAGATCCCTAGAAATTCTGATTCTTTGTGTCTGGTGGGGGGGAGAGACAAGATTTTGTGTTAACAGCAAACTCTCAGGCTATATTGATGCCATCTGTCTGTGTACCACATTTTTGAGTGGCAAGACCGTAGAGTCTGAGGCATCTCTAGTCACAACTCCAAAGAGAGAATCACACACACACACACACACACACACACACACACACACACACACAAATTCTTTTAGGCAAATGATTCCCATCTTTTAATTATTTTAACAATTAAACAATAACTGGTCCTATTTTCTAGTTACTGCCCAAAAAAGCAAGAGCATAGAGCAACCTTGTTAGGTTGGAGAATAAGGCACAGGCCTCCATAAGAATTTATTTGCAAATAATATAAATTGGTAAAAAGCTACTATTGCTTTTCCCTCCTTCCCCAACTCCCATGGTGCCTTCTAGTATTTCACAAAGTCAATCAAGCTGAAGAACCAAAAAATTGAGTCTTTAATGAGAGGAAATGAAGAGTTTTGTTACATCTCTTCTGTACCTGATTATGCTGCTTAGAGGAAGGCATCTTAATGTTCTAACATAAAAGAAAATCTATGTGTGGAAAGAGTCAAAAGCTTCCTCCTCCAATGGAGTCCCATTTTCTATTTGAAGGGAATCAGCTTGGGTGGAAGGCAGAGCAGTGTCAGCCCACTTTGCTGCAGATTTCTCTTGTTGAGCATTATTGGGGCTATTCAATCCTTTCCATTTCTCTCAGGTCACTGACACAGTCTGAGTGTGTGACAAGGAGTGCAATGGGTGTTTTCAGGCTCCTGATCACTCTTCTTAATGCTTCCTCATTTTTATGGATATTGTAAAGTAAGGATCTTGACTTCTACAACATATAGGAAAACATAAAAGAACTCAGGGGTCCGGTCCCCACAGAAAATCACTGTTAACGCTTCAATTCATTTCTTCCCCATTTTTAGGCCTGTACAAACACCTAAGTATTTTTGCAAAATTGGGGTAAAATTTTTACAGGTTTTTTTCTTTTTAATAACATCATAGACATTTTCTCATGATATTAGATACTCCCTAAAAAGCAAAATTTTTACTGCTGTAGATTTTTTAAATCTTTGTTATTTATGATAATTTATTAAATTGCTTTCTTTATTGCTGGTTTATGTTAAAACTGACATTTCTGTCTTTCTTTCCCCCTCTCTGCTTCTCCTCTTTTTCTTCTCTCCTCTGTTTTTCTTTTCTCTTTCATACATTTGTGAACTTGTGAGAAAATAAGGTTAAAAGTAAGAGGACTTAACTTTTGAGAATATTAAAGTACAAGAAACAATGTTTATTGTGGGAATACTTGCACATCCCTAATTTCCTGGAGTCTGAGGTTATATTGGCCACTCACAAAAAGAACAAGGGGCAAAGCCTGGGACCCCAACAAGTGAGAAAACAAAAACAAGCCCCAGAAAATGAGTATTGACCCATAGATATCAAGGATATCAAGTGAACTCAACCATGGTTCTGAGTACCAAGGGGTCAAAGCAAAATGAACAATATATAGGTGTCCCCCAAAGTGTATAGACTCTGATTGCTCATATGTTTCTTTCTTTTCAGATTTAACCCATAGAATTAATAATTATTCAAAATATGTATACATTTTTGGGTGACCCTGTGTATATTGTAGCCTTATAGTGCAAAGCCTGTGGAGGTCTCCTATTTCTGTGTACTGAGTGCCTGTAATATTCTGTTTCTTGATTAGATGCTGACCTCACAAGTATGTGTAGTTTGTGAAAATATACTGAGCTGTCACTTTTGATCTGTGCATATTTTTTAGTATCATCTCATCTTATATAATAAAGAGGAAATATGCAAATTGACCCTCATGCCCTTGAATAAGATGGCCACTCATATGTAGTCAAAGATGGCCGCCCCCATGTGGTCAAAGATGGCCATGGAAAGATGGCCAGAAGGGGAGGGTAGTTGTGGACAATCAGGCCAGCAGGGGAGGGTAGTTGGGGGTGACCAGGCTGGCAGGGGAGAGCAGATTGGGATGATCGGGCTGGGAGGGGAGGGTAGTTAGGTGTAATCCTGCCAGCAGGGGAACAGTTAGACTGGCAGGGAATGGTTAGGGGGTGATCAGGCAGGCAGGCAGGTGAGCAGTTAGGAACCAGCAGTCCCAGATTATAAGAGGGATGTCCCAGATTGGAGAGGGTACAGGCTGGGCTGAGGGACACCTCACTCCCCATTGCATGAATTTCATGTACCAGGCCTTTTATACTTCAATAAAATGCCTACAAAATCATATCTATTAGGTGACTTTCCCCCAAACTCATAAGGTGAACATTTGCTGTAATTTGTGGGGGGTAGTCGAGTTCCACATCCCTGGCAGAAAAAAAATGCAAATTTTCTTTGAAGAAATGTAAATTAAACTCAGAATTTTCACAAATTCTTCTAAGAATTAATAAATACAAGAGGGAGTGAGCCACCAGGTGAGAACAGAGCACCGTACGTATTTCAGAATCACACCAACAATGACAGTTAATGCTGGAATTATCAGAGGACAACTATGAAATAAGTGTGATGGGTATGTTTGAAAGTGTGATGAAGTAGGGAATATCAATATTGCACTTATTAGTAAAGATCCAAATGGTAGTTCTAGAAATGTAAAATAAAATTTAAATTAGAAAATCAATAGCTTTAAAAAATATGTAATTTTAAATGTCTACTAGACACAAGAAAAAGTGGAAATAAACAAGTGAAATTAATTTTAATTACATTTAACCCAATAAATTAAAAATATTACCCTTTTAACATCCAATCAATACAAGATTATTAATGAGATAATTTACTTTTTTCATACAAGTCTTTGACATTTAGAATGCGTTTTATACTAAAAGCATATCAATCTGGAATAGTTACTCTTAATCTATTCTGTATACACACACTGTACTTACAGTTTTCTGCTGTGTGTAGATGGGCATGGGTCCAAGAAGAAGCAAAACTGTTTATTTAAATTCCTATGTAATGTTAATTTAATTGAACAGATGTGTTTACTTTATTGAACCATTTTCCTACTGAGAGATATTTTGTTTATTTTTCATATTTCAAATAAGTCTGCAAGGAGCAGCATTTATTCAAAATCTATTTGCATGTGTGTATTTCCAAGGCATAGAGTTTAGATATGGACTTGCTATACAATGGATGGCTTTAATAGCAGATTAGGCACAATTGAATGCTACTTAGTGAACTGGAAAAGAGATCTGAAAAAAAAATACCCAGAATGCAGTACAGAGAGACTAGGGAAGGGAAGATTAAGACACATAAAGAACACAGTTATACGTGTTAAAACAAAGACAAAAGAAAGACAGGGAGTAGAAATGTTTCTAAAGATAATACCTAAGATGTCTCTAGAATTAATTAAAAAAAAAATCCACAACAAAACAGCAGTTTCCAATTAAAACGACCCAATGAATCCCAAGGAAAATAAATGAAAAGAAACAAAATAGATCCAGAGACAGAAAAACATGGAACAGAATTATGAATCTCCAAGGGAAGGTGGGGGTGGGTGGGTGGGTGAGGAGAGATTAATCAGGGAACTTACATGCTTATATGCACAGTCATGGACACCAACAATAGTGTGGTGGAGGCCTGGGTGTGGGATGGAGGAGTTAGGGGGGGGGGGGGGTTGGGGTTGGGGGAATCTATAATACTTTTAAAAATAAAGATAAATTTAAAAAGGAAATAGAAAGAAGCTCACCTGGACACATGATAGTGAACTTGTAGTACACTGAAGACAGGACAAAAAATTTTACAACCAGTTATGAAAAAAATAAATACGTATTAGGCCAACAGTTGGCTTCTGGAAGGCAGGAGCCAGGAGGAAGATATATAAAGTGCTAAGAGGACATACTTGTCAGTCTACACACACACTTGAGAAAGAGCAAGAGCGAAATAAATTTTCCTGCAAAAACGAGTTTGCAAGCCACAGACCCTCATGAAGGGAGTGCATCTGGAATGTATTTAGGTGGAAAGAAAATGAGCCCAGAAGGTGTGTTTGAGATGAAAATGAAATAAATAAAAATTAAAATAATGAATATGTTGGTAAATCTAAACAAACACTAATTAGATAAATTGGGAGGTTAAAAAAACAAAATAGACCTGAATTTTGGACAACAATCAAATCTCATTTGAAAGGAGGGGTGACAGGAGCTAAATGTTTAAGGTTCATCTCCTGTTTAGGAGAAGAGTTAAGATATTGACTAACTTTAAACATCTTAATCTAAGAATACAGGTTAAAATTCCAGAGGAATCCAAAAGCAATAGTAATTTAATGTGGAAATTCCAAACTAGTAGATGTTAAAAAATGGAATTGGGTATATAAATCTCAGTTGAAATGTCTTAGAGAAAAGGCAAACAAAACACATAAGAAAAAAAAAATAGAATGACTGGGTGGAAAATAAGCCAAGAAACATAAAAATAAATGTATCAGCACTCAAAATTAATAAAGTAAAGAACTAAGTTCCCAGAAAAAAATAATCAATGTTTGTTCCTTCTTCTAGATAAATAAAATAAATGAATGCTTTTAAAAAGATAGATGTCACATAAAAGTTGAAAAGCAAAAGAGTAGAACAGGTACATGTCAAATACTATTTTTTAAAAAGCTATTAGGGCTATAATACTACAACATAAAATTGAATTAAAGTAAAAAAAGATAGAAGAGAAAGAGGACCATTTACATAGTGACATTTTTTCCCCCATCAAGAAGATAGGCTATAAACTTATATGCATCTAGCCTAGAATTTTCCCATTAACTTAATAGAAAAAAGGCCTAAAATAAATATATCTAAATTTATAAAACTGCTTAGAGGAAGCTAAAAAAGTCCATCAACATATTGGGAGATTTCAACATACCTTTCTAAGTGATTGATAGATTAGTCAAGCAAAATTATGGCTGTAGAAGTTTTGTAGAACATAATTAACAAGTTTGATACAATAGATATATTTAAACATTGTTCTTTGTAAGACTAGAAGATTTATGAAAATTAATGAAATGCTAGGCCAGAAAGAAAGTCTTAACTCTAAAAGATTTTGCCATCTCTCTCTCTCTCTCTCTCTCTCTCTCTCTCTCTCACACACACACACACACACACACACTCACACACACACACACACACACACACTCACACACACACACACACAAACACACAAACACACACAGCATGTCCTTGGGTGAAGGCTTAAAAAAATTTGCAATCATACCCACCACCTACTCTAACTTTATAATTAATTTTTATAAAAAGAGACACTACAGCTGAAACCGGTTTGGCTCAGTGGAAAGAGGGTTGGCCTGCGGACTGAGAGGTTCCAGGTTCGATTCCGGTCAAAGGCATGTATTACCTTGGTTGCGAGCACATCCCCAGTAGGGGATGTGCAAGAGGCAGCTGATCAATGATTCTCTCTCATCGATGTTTCTAACTCTCTATCCCTCTCTGTTCCTCTCTGTAAAAAATCAATAAAAATATATTTTAAAAAAAATAAATAAAGAGACACTACAAAGAAAGGGAAAGAGATGTGGAATGAAAGATAAGGGTTCATATGTCCAAGACTGGTACCTTGAGCCTGGCCTTCTAGAAAGGGAATTGACCTCCTTCAAAGCTTTGTGGAAACTTCAGGAATCAGCTGAAGGTTTCAATGCCAGCGTTCTGATCATGCCAGGCAAAGGGCAGCTGCTATGCCCCCAGCTATCAACACTGAGCTGAGAAGGTAGGGCTGGGCCAAGACTCTGCACATCTTACTGTGTTATGTTGGAGCCTCTGATCCTATGAGGAGAGGGCTTTCGAGGGTAGTTCTTAAAAACCCTCAGAACAAATGTGGGAGTTCCTCTCCCAGAATCTGACTTCGGGCATGCCAGGCTGCTATGGACAGCCTCAGAGAGGTGCAGGCCCAAGAGGAGGCCCTCTGACCTATACAGATCCCTTCTCTGAGGTTTCTGCGTATGAACTCAGTCAGCAGGCTGGATGTATGAACTTAAACTTACTTGTTTGCACTTCATGGAAAAGAAGGCCTCCCAGACATCAATAGATGGAGTGGAAATTGGCAAAGCCACTTTGGAAAACAAATGAGCCTTGCTAATCCACATGCACAATAGCTGCGTCCAGGAAATTCCACTCCAGCCGAAACCAGTTTGGCTCTGTAGATAGAGCGTCAGCCTGCGGACTGAAAGGTCCTGGGTTCTATTCAGGTCAAGGGCATGTACCTGGGTTGTGGGCACATCCCCAGTAGGGGGTGTGCAAGAAGCACCTGATCGATGATTCTCTCTCATCAATGTTTCTAACTCTCTATCCCTCTTTCTTCTTCTCTGTAAAAAATCAATTAAAAAAAAGGAAATTTCACTCCAGAGGAATCTGCACACAGGTACACTGGAGAAGTCCTTGCTCTGACATTTTGTGGCAGCACACAAAGAGATGTCATTTTCAGCTTGTAGAGGAGCAATCCTCACAGGCAAACAGAGATCTGAGAAGGGCCCTTTATTATTGTTCTTCACATTGGTCCCCAGAGAACCAACTTTGGGGTATGAAGTTGACCAAATAGCAGCCTCCTATAGAGTCCCTGTAAATAACCAGGCAACATTTTTCTCTGTTGACATCATAGCTTCAAATATTTTTGAGAAACGGAAATAAAAAAGTTAAGGGCATACAAGAACAAACCATTAACTTTATAGAATCTACAAATTGTGGCTTTTGGCACCATGACCATAATTTGCTGAACTGAATGGTTTTTCAACTTATAATCATTTGCCTTACTTTTGTGGCTACTCGACCAGTATCTTGGGTTTGAGAAATCATGCTTTGCAGCTTTTTAAAAAATTCCAATAATTTTTCTCCACAATTGTCTTGTGAGATTATGGCTTAGACCTAATGGCACAGATGTAGGCATAGTACTTTGGACAGCTTTTAAAATAATCCTTTTAAAGTATTTTCAGAATGATAACTGTTGTGGGGTCGAACCCTGGGTTCAAAATAAGACCACTGGAAGCTGATAACTTATTAAAAAAAAGCAAACAAGAATTTATTGAACTGGCCAGGGCAGCCGCAAGAGTACCACACGCAGGCAGACCCTACACGACTGCGAGGCTTTAGGGGCAGGTAGTTATTTTTAAAGATTCTGAGAAGGAAAACACCCATTCTACAACAAACTGTTGTTTGGAATTTTCTGCTGTTCTTCCTAGATAAAATGTTGCTTTCTAGTTTGCTTTATCCAGTTTGAAGAATGATGAAGATAAACTTAGCTGTCAGACCTTGCAGGCCAGAGACCAGATTTACCCACAGTCTCAATACCATGCCAGGTGCATATATATATATTTTTTTAATTGGATAGAACAGCATTGTTTTCGAGGCCAGCATCAAGATAACCACTAAGTGTACATAGGGCTGGCTCTTTTATGAAAAAGAAAGTTCTGCCTGTAACCTTGCCCAGAACTTGAACTCATGCTCTCTAAGCCCATTGCACAACGAACAAAGCAAGTAAGCAAAGGTCGAAGTCAGAATAGTAGGGTTAAAATTCAAACAGTAGTTTTTTACCCAAGTATGATTGCTACCATATTTCAATAACTTGTCAACAGCAGCATTCTAACAAGTAAACACACACACACACACACACACACACACACACACACATTTAACTAGATATTAAAACTGGAAAAACAGTAAATTTTTATAGGCAAGTTAGGATTTTATTTTGCTGAAGTGTATGTCTTTTACACTTAAGTTTATTTATCATAATGTTGTAATAAAATGTATCCTAGTCTTGATCTGAAACTTACTTTTCCTTTACAGCATTTCCCTTTGAGCGATGTACCATATGGAGAAGTAAGAAAACACAGCTTTACCAATTATTTACATTCTTGCGACGACAATCCCTTAGGGATACCATAAAAACCCAAAAAGAGTCAGCAGGACATACTCACTTGTATATCAGATATTTGTCATTTGGAGCACATTCATCTTCACTCTCTTTTAAATCTTATGCACCTGTTATTGTTTGTAGCATTATGACTGTTCACCAGCACCAATATCACTCCTTTCTCTTGAGGTTAGCATAGCCATGTGACTTGCTTTAGCCAAAAAAATGGGAGTGAAGTAATATGTGTCATTTTTGAATGGGAGCATTTAATTATTGGGATCAGAAGTCTTAAAGTGTTAACACCCCTTGGTGTATGAGAGCTGCCCTTTAAAGTCACCTTTACCCATAAGTGACTTTTTGAAAACAAGAGACAAGCTTTTGTTGTGTTAAGTTACTGGGATTTTAGGGATCTTTGTTGCTGCAGGCTAACTTCATCTGTCCTGACTAATGCGCCATCTAGTGTCCTTAAGGGAGAAATGCTTCTACTAATTATATATATTTTAAATAACTATATGAATTGTGGTAATGTTGGTTAATAAGATTATACGTTTCAAGTGAACAATCTTATAATACATTATCTGTCTATTGCATTGTGTACTCACCACCCAAAGTCTAGTCTCCTTCCATTTGGCCCCCTTTACTTCATCCTCCCCAATCTCCTTTCCCTCTGGTAACTATTCTACTGTTGTCTATGTCTATGGGTTTGCTTATTTATTTTTTTACATTTTATATCATATGTATTAATGAAATCATATGGTTCTTGAATTTTCCCATATG